GGGTGGGTGGGTGGGTGGGTGCGTGGGTGCGGGGGGGGCAGCGTGACACGTCTAACTTATTTCTGACCAGACACAATGATGTCAATGCATGGGCGTTTTAAAAACAAGCGAAGAGTGAATCATGTTATAGGAAATAAAATGTAATATCGACACAAATATACATCACACAGAAATACATTTAAGAAAAAAAAATTGAAGAAAAAAGTTTAAAATAAATTATAGCTAATATATTGTGTTCGGCTAGTCTGCTTTTTTGTTGTAAAGATAATTTTTTGTTGTTTTTGGAGAATGATATACAATTTGTGTATATTTTCATAAATAAAGTATGCACTGATATGTTATTACAAATTCTATACTGCTTTTACAAAAAAAAGTGTTTGTTATTGTACCAAAGTATCCATTGGTCCCCTCTTACCCTCCTCCCCTTTTTGCGTATGTTTTACCGTATTTTATATATTAAATAGACAAGTTGACCTACAGAAAAGTTTGAGTTTGTGTCATTTCTTTGTGAGTGTGTGTTATTCTGAGTGTGACAGCAGTACCGTGTTGGCACCACTAGATGGCAGTCTGACGTTTGGTATTGCAGGACCCAAGCTGCAGAGACGCAGAGGAAGCTGCTACTGGGTCAAGATGCTCATGTTACCAAAATGTTGACTTGTTTTTCAGGAAATCTGCTTTTTCTTTAGTGCAATAAAGTATTTTTATGTTGTTTAAGATGTGAAATCACTTGTTTTGTAGTAAATGCTTCACTCTTAAGACCCAAAGCGAAAAGAAAAGGAGAGCTTCTCCTCGATATGTTCATTACTTTATAGTGCTTTTATTTTTATTTTTTTTATTTTTATTTATTTGAGTATTTTATGCAACTATAGTTAAATCTATAGTTGGATTATAAATGGTGAGCACTATGCAACCTAATAAAAGGATCCAGATAAAAACATATTCTCATGCAGATTAACCACATTGTCCCCAGACACTCCTGGTAGACGTCATGGATCAGAACACTTGTGTGTGCGTGTGCGTGTGTGTGTGTAATCTCGTTTATTGAGCCACTTTAAGAGGAGATCAATGAAATTTGATACTTAATTGATCTCCAATAGAGAAATAAGCTGTTCTTTCCCTCCTCCTCCCTGTTCTTCCACAGAGGAGGTCAAAGGTCAGGGACAGAAACGGGTAAAGGTCTAAGGATGAGATATTTGGTTAATGTCGTGAAGCCAAATCTGTGATTTTTGGATATATTAATGAAGTCTTACTTGCGGAGCCCGAGTCGCGTGGTTGACGCGAAGAAACTGTGTGACAAAAGTGAGTTCAAAGGCACAATCATTAAGCTGGAGAGACTACATACAGTGCACACACTAAAGGTAGAGATGATGTTACAAAGGGTTTAAAAATATGATTAAAATAGCATATTTTAAAAACATTTAAATATATTATTTCCTTGAGATTAATCACAAGAAAACAGTTTGTCTTATTATTTCAACATAACAAGCAATTCATCTCGACATAAGGTGTCAAAACTCTAAATCAAAGAATAATTATTGTGTGATAAACAGCTTTACAGTAAGTGACAACTTATTGTGATCACAGGAAAAACGGTGTACGTCAACGTTAATGGTCTTCTTCAAATGAAACAGGAGAATTAATTCCAGTGCTTTTTATCTGTGTCAATGTGTTAAAGTCTGTTTTGTCTATTTTTATTGTACTTAAGTAAATCCAGGGGCGTTTCCAGACTTTTTTGGCTGTGGGGCACTGATTTATGCAGGGGTGGCATGAAGTATGTGTCTGCAACTTCTCTAGTCATTGACAGTTTATGCAAGTCCAACACTGTTTATGGACCCCAGGATGCAGGAATATTCAAACACACTAGGGGGAAACACATTTATACTGTAAGTAAAAAGCTGTGTGGGATTAGCATAAAGTGTGTGTGTCTGCAAAGGGAGATTATTGGGTACCCATGGAACCAATTTTCATTCATATATCCATCAATTTTGAGGTACTGGAGTTTTCACACTTTATTTTTCTACATTTCAGAGGGAAATGTTGTACTTTTTACTCCACTACATATATTTCACAGCTATAAGAGCGTAGTACCTAAGGGGGAAGCTTCCCATGTTCAGTTGTAAATAATTCCCGCTAATGGAAGAGTCAGTCTGTAAACTGGTTATATAATGTATACTGCTAAATATTTTTTGTTTTAAAAGGCACGAAATATGCAAACAGCCTTATAAAAGGCACCTTCTAAGGTAACAAAAACATAATGTTTTCTATATTTAGGTGATTATACACAAATGAAAACATGGGTATAAATATTATATTCCATTTCTGCCAATGTCCTAAATGTTATACACTGGACCATTAATTGGTAGAGAAAATTGATTTTCTTTTAAAAATACCAAAAAACACATTATGTATAAAATGTTGTTTCCAGAGAGATTTACGTTCTCACATCATTTGACTTTTTATTTATCTATTCCTAAGGGTTGAACTTCAGAGAGAAGACAAAGAAGGAAATAAAGTTGGTTGGCAAAGAAGGGACATCCATGCAATTGTTCACCCAACCCACCCGGGGCTGACCGAGCTGATCGCAGGCCGTCAGCTGCCACGGTCAGCTGGTTTGTCCACAGCAGCCGTTGGGCTCACGTCTCAGACAGACACATACACTCACACACACTCAACAGACCGCTAATAATAAACCACACACAATCTCAGGCGGCTCAGTCAGACGTCCAACTGGACTGTCCAGGCATTGTCTGTCCAACAGTCACCCATTTTTCCTGCCACAGAGCGATGAAGGCAGCCATTTGTCTGAGGGTGATCTTATCTTTCAGCACTTCACGGGTTAAAATGTCCGCACAATGACTCAAAGTCTATTATTTATTCAAAAGTTTACAATTGGCCTCAGGTTGCAGGGTTGGTGTGAACGTACCTAAAGGTAACCTACATGTGATTGAATAGATTTTGTATTCCCGAGCTTTAACATTAGTTTATTTGTAGTGAATATGGTGTGTAGTTGCTGAGAAACAGAGAAGTAGGCTGGGTGTGAGTCATCCTCTTCCTCTTTCCCTGTGTTCATGGGTGTGGCCTGTCTGCCAGTGCACATCTAACTTCATTTCTAGACACTGATTACATTACTGTGTGGGCATCTGCTACCAGACACACACAAACAGAGGAACTAACTCCCCCTCGTTTCAGCCTACACCACATTTAAAACAGAATTTGTCATGCATTGCTGACTTCAGTGACAGTAATTGTATTATTAGTTATTAGAATTCATGGGAACTCTTTGTCTTTAAAGCTGAACACATTCTTACCAGGGTTCTCCACATGGGTCTTTTTTCTGAGTTATCCTCATAGCAGAAAGGCTCTTTGAATTCCTGTTTTAGGATGGTGAAAACCTCTCTGAAGGTTTCAGGTAATGTAATTTACAACTGTTTATACGGTTATATATATGAAATTTAAAACATTAATATGGCAGCAAACAACTATTTGTTGAAACTGGATGTGAAACACACAGCCCTTAATGAAGAGTGTCCCTATTTCAGACCAAACACTTTACGCAGATTAACTGGGCGTGTAGAGAACCGAGATGTTCACATGCCAAGTGATTAATTAATGAACATGATCTTTTTAATAGTATAATTGGTCTTTGGTGATTAAATGTAACTTAAATGTAACACAATGACTGCCGATTGTTGTAACAAATGTCTCACTAATCTGTCAAATCTGAATAAGGCTAAAATAACCATTCATATAACCTACCTTAATCAGTAACTGGGGGTCCAACTACCCATGCTGCTGTCACAGAGTCAATACAACTTGCCATTGCAATAATGGCGGTGCTGCTAGATGGTGGAACAAATCAAAGATTTGTGTATAGTGGAGTCGTGGCCTGCTGAGCAGAGAATGACGTCACACTCCCTCTGCTTGTGTTGCTATCGCAGCCTCTCTGTGGTTTGTTTACATAGCTGGTCTGGCCACACATGCATGTTAGTATGTGTGAGTCCCTCTGCATACAACTGAGGAGAACGACTGAAACGGCCATTTTATTTTGTTTCTGTCCGCTTTGAATGATGTCATCATATGCAAGGTAATAAAACTAAAAACCACGTTGGAATAATTCAACACTAAATCCCTCATTTTAAGCTTTTCTATTGACCACTGAAGTCATTTATTTAAAAGTAATAAATGTAATGGATGGCCTATTTATCTCCCAGAACCTTCTCAATGGTTAAAACCAGCAGTCAGTGTTAGGGTTAGTTCGTCATTGAGCAGAGACTGTTTTCACCCCCAGTACAATCAGAGGTGGCAAAAGTACACACATTGTTTACTCAAGTACAGATACTGTGTGTATACAGGAAAAAAGACTCCGGTGATAAAACAAGTTGCTGTGTAAAGCTAACTGGGTCTAGTCTCCCCGTATGGTTGGTTTCACCATGTTATATCTGTTGTGCATGATATGTGTTTATCTTGATGTTGGGTAGGGGGGAATTGATTGAGCCTTTTTTTTAAATGTAAGGAGTAAAAAGTAAATGGGGGTAAATCAGTCATATCAATATGGGTGAGACAGCAGCTTGTCAGTATTAAAACAGACTGTGAGCTCAAACATCCAGGTCATAACCTTTAGCAAATATTGTGCAGGATTAGAGTTTCTATTCATGAGTCAGTCTCGCTCATCCTGGATCACAAACCCAACCTGCAGCTGTCGGCAGCAGATTGCAAATCGCAGTGCAACATCACTGGCCTTCTATTTTGATACAGGCCAGTGATGACTGATGACTTGATAGGCAAGATTTGTGGTAAAGTCACATGCCTTAAGGTGTGTTCACACAGAGATAGACACTGGTCAACTCTAAACTAGTGTTTAGGCGAGGCGGCGGGGTGCTGTGACGCAGCTAAACGTTTGTCTGACGTCTTCAATTTAACTTTGGAAAACCCTGTGAAAATCTTGTTTTTCTTGCTAATTTCGGGTGGTTCCACTTCTCAGGATGCAGTCATGTACAAGTGTGGGTATCAGTACAGCGACCTCAATGTGGGGTATGGTTACTGGTGCATGACCAGGCAGTTTGTGATGCAATATTTATAGAGAAGTGGTAACATTTGTACATTGTAACAGATGTGAGTCTAAATGTGGTGAGGTATTAAACTGTGATCAAGCCTTCTAAAAAAAAAAAACATATCACATAAAAGTCACAGACTAATAAATATTCTTCTTCTTTCACGCTGTCTAACTCAACGTGTGATGTTGATTGACATACAATTCATTCACGGGCAGCTCATGTAGGACCTGATCTCTCCAGATGGTCTCATGACTTTAGCGCTCGCTCAGTTGTCATCACTTTACAAGTTGTCAAAGACGTGCATGGATTTACATATTGAGCATGTATTAAGCATGTTTTGACAGATAGCAGGGATATAAGCTTCAGTTCCTACATTACTGTTAAAAATAAAGCAATAGTGAAAAGGTCAAAGGTCAGAGTGTTAGTGTCTTGACTGCTATGCACAGAACCATGGCTTCCACATTGTCTTGTGATTATTTATTGAGGATGAACCTACAGACAGAGCAAGACATCCTAATTAGCCATTCATTTCATTTACTGTGGATATTTAAGGTCCCCAGAGGATGATATACATATTTGGTAACATTTGCTTTGGATGTGTTCCCAAGGCAATTGAGACTTTGGTTTTATTGACAAAATGTTTTTTCTTCTACAAAAACAAATGGTGCAAACCTATATTTTAGTCCCGCTTCTAGTAAAACTAGTAAAACTACACGTTGTTTGTTGGAGGTAATTTAACCTCTAAGGCTCTAAGACTTGTTAGTCTGTGGCACCATATGATTAGTTGTGCTATTCTCTCACAGCTTACATGCACTTTCTTGCCTTTTCTGATACAATGGGGATCTAAAGTGGGAGAACCGAGTGGAGACACCTCCTCAGTCCAGCTCTGCAGCTCCTCCATCACTGACACCAATAACATCAAGAGTAAATCAATGGAGACGGGATGACGGATGGCAGATGGCTACCAGAGCACACACGTACACACACACCACCACAAAGAGCTAAAAGAGGTTTACGTCTCTCCTAATGGACTTGTACAAACACACCTCCCCCATGTTAATCTAGTGGCCACTGGTCATGGTGCCGCTGGACCAGTCGAGCGTGTTGATACCCAGCGTGTCTTAAGTCAACGTTGGCAGCATTTTCAACTGAAATTTTGTTTACTCGAGTGAGATTAATGCCTTTGGTAGCACAGAATTATGGCACCAAGACCTGAAGATGTGCCAGTGTTGCAGTTTGGAAGAAATTAGAACATAATTTGAACTGGCAGAACAAAACGAAGTCTGGTCATGTTCAGATATTTCTAAGTGTTCCTAACTGGTTGTAATTGGGCCAAAACATTATCTCACTGTGCTGATAAGTTACCTCGAACACAACAATACTTTATTTGCAGCTATGCCAAGTTTTGTGGTAACCAGGGAGCTTGTTAGTGAAAACTTGGCACACAGCAAACACGTGTGGTTTGACCCTCAGTAACAGGGTTTTACTGCTTTAAGTTGCCAAGGAATAAAATGATTCATGCAGCCATTAAAAGATACATCCCACCTCTAGAATGATTTAGTTGTAACCACTAATTTGTGCCAAATGTCTTAAAATTTGAGCACTGTGCCAGACTTAACTTTTTAACTACGCTTGAATATTTCAAGAATAGCAGATTCTCTTGGTGCTCATTGCTTTAAATGTAGTCTTATTAGTTAAAGCCAAACTCCTTTAATTAATTCTTGACTGAAACATAAAACGTTTTTGTGCTATTGTGCACAGGTAAAGGTTAGAAAAAGGTTTTAAAAAAGCAATTTTGCCAAGCAAAAAACTGCCTTTCCTAATCAGATTTTGTTCATTTATTAAATTAAATATATTAAAAGGTACTTATGCTATGTGCTAGGCCAGTTTATGTTGAAAAGACAACTACATTTTGAAGATGTTTAAAAGATAAAAGTGACATAGCAGAAAATTAACTGTTCCTGACCGAGGCTTGCACAACTGTTATTAAACCACAGAGCAAAAAGGGGCGGGATTTAGGAAGGAAATGATCTGATTTGCTTTTGAAACAAGCTGTAAAATCGCACTGTACATGGATTTTAAATCTGTAGTAAATTTGTCATTTGATTTAGTTTGTTTTATTAGCAAACAGATGTCAATTTATAAAATATTCCTGATGAGGTAGTAAAGAACCAGAGCTGTTGTCCAAGGGAGGATGTGACACAAGGCTAAATTAACTGCACAGAATAATCTGAGGCAAACTTTCAAAATGTTTCCCGTCGCCAAGTGCTTGCTCATGGTGGTACTGTTGGGTCTCTGTAAATGTTAAAAGGAGTTTCGCTAGACCCTGGCCTCCTATTTGAAAAGTGTCCTGAGATAACTCTGTTAGAATTGGAGGCTATACCAAAGTAAAATGAATGAAGAAAGTGAAGATACACAAACTAAAAAGTCCTTCAAAGCCTTAAGCAAAACTTCCACTTACTGCACATGTACTCCGTACACTTGGATTTTTGTAATACGCATTCAGTAATGAAACAACATAAAGTATTTTATTATTACTAGCAGAGTACAGGGAGAACATATTGATCCCCTGAGAGAACCACTGAAAATTGCTTTTGGAAATTATAATATTAATTGAATTCTGTTCTGTTTTTATGTGTTACTGCTCTCTTCTCCAGTTCCTATCACAGTTAGTGATTGTATGGTGGGTGTCTTGGGTAGGACAGCTCTATTGATAGGCAGAGAATAGGAGCATGCCAGACAGTTGCCGTAATACCATTCCAGCACTCCAGCCTTCTCACAGTGAATACGACCGTCTGTGGTTTCCTTCCTCACTGAATCTCTCATTGGGCAGATTTGGGCAGCGAGCACTTGCTAAAATAGCCATCATTGTTCAGTCAAGTGACGAATGAGGAGGGAGTTGGGAGGGCGGTGGGAAGGAGGGGAGGTGAGGTCACACATTGTTCCCTCTTTTGTACTTTTTTCCTTGGCCGTCTCATGGGATGGCTGTTTGCTTGTGCAGGACCCCGGTGCTGCTTTGTTAGCTTGCCTGCTTTGAGGTCAGTGAGGCTGGGATGTGGCCAAGTCCAGGCACACACAAATACACACAAACACAGCCTTCCTCAATGAAAACCCCAAAGGAAACAGACATGGATGTTGCTGGAAGGCAGCAAGCAGCTGTTTTTTTTTTACCTTGCCTTAAGGATGCAACTGTGTTCTGAGTTAAAGAAAATGTCTGTAGTTTTAGAGGCCTGTCTAATTAATCATCACTAAACAATTCCCTCTTTTAAATAACAGAAATTCCCACAGTTTTCAACACAATCAAAGCCTCCTCCAGGTATTGCATGATTTATGATTTAATAGTATCCCTGGTAAATTTTTATTTTATGGGCCTATAACTTATAGTTAGTGGAAAAAACAATGTGATTTTGTGTTGTTAAAAGGGAAAATGTCTTGAAAGAACTGCTCCATTTAAACCCAAGTTAAATATTCATGAATTAGTCTATTATTGCAAACTTAAATCTCCATATATGCCGGATTGTACACACATGTACCTGACCTGCTGTCTTACAGACCCTAGCAAAATATTGAGGTGTACTAATTGAATCCATATGCATTAATAGTATGAAACTACATTGTTCTTTCCAGGACACAAGGAAATTACAGACCTGTAATATAAAGTGTTTCCTTTATCCTAAATCAATAATATGTAATTTAAATTATTGTATAAAACTGTAAGATGGATTCAGGTCCTCACTGAGTTGCCAACATTTTATTTGCTTAAAAGAGAATCAAAATATATAAGTTAAGCTATCAATGGGCGGTATTAGTGATCAGTAGGGCTTTGTTTTGGCAAGAATCTGGTAATATGATACATATCAGATATTCAGAAGATGAATGTCATGGTTCAGTCATTGTAGGTTGTCTTATTTTGAAGTTCTGTGTGTTTCCTGTTTTATTTTGTACATTTCTTTTCCTCTTGTTTCTGATCCTCTCACTTCCTTTTCCTTGTGCGTTTCCTGCCAATGGTAACTGTTTGCTCTGCCCTCAATCACCTGCACCTGCATCTGATTACCTTACACCTGTTCACTATATAGTCTCTGTGTTTTGCTCGCTCCTGTGCCAGTTCGTCTTTGTCTACTCAGTCAAGTGTACCAGCAGTATTTCTCATGTTCTTATACTTTGGTTTTCAGTTTTTTTGCCTGCCGTTTGACTGGCCTTTTTGGGCTTTCCTTGTTTTGTGGATTACCCGTGTACCGAACCTTGCTTCAGTAAAAAGGAACTGATTTACCTTTGAACCCTGTTTGTGTTTTGAGTTGTGCATTTGAGTCCAGTTTCCAACAATGAATGCAGTCTGTAATTGTCTGACCAAAAAAGTTTTTTGCTAAATATTTGTTTGGAGATAGGCTACTCTGGTAATGTGCATTTTGCAAGTAAACAAGTTAAATGTTCAAATAAAGACACTGAGAGCATGTAATGAATCTACTATTTATTTTGGACTTTAAATGTACCGCAGCAAAAACTGAATGAAAATAAAAAGTCTGTTTAATACAAGCCAGACAAATAGATCATAACAGTAAATCTATCCAATTCAGCTTACATCAATGTCATCTAAACCTCTGACAACCAACCATTCATTCTACACGTGTAAAACATGCAAATTATTATTATTGGAAATGAGATAACTAACCAGCAGAAACACTATCCATCTGTTTGATACACTGTGAAACAGCAGCTCTACAAGGAATCCTACCCTCCTGCTCTCATTGATTTCCATCAGTCATCAGATTAGGCAGAAATCAATAAACGATTTGACTTCCAAATTACATTCTTTGTTCTGTCTTCATGCAGAAATGCCCAACCTTCTTCCATATCATGCACACTGAAAGGGTTTAGAATTAGAATAGAAAAAAAGGGTTAGTCCAATATGTCAGTTTAAGCAAATGAGGCAGTTGCTCACTATCTTTACAGATAGAATTGGCACATTGGTGGTTAGCGTCACTGAGGTGCGCACCAAGGCACAACTTTGGTTTTCATAGTAAATGTATTGTACAGAAAACATAATTTTCCTCTGACTAACACTGATTAAATCTATAACTGGTTCAACTCAAACTTCTCACTACTTTTATATCGGTTCCTCCCCAGATGACCAGGATTCACCCTCAACTTCAGACTCCTCAGAATGGACCAACTCCCCCTCAACAACATTTCTACACAACACCTGCTTCACCTCCAAATGCATCTGCTCCTGCTCCTTCTTAGCAGCCAGGGCTTTAGATGAGTCAATATCCACCCTGGAGTTCCAGTTAACGACATTGGGGTTTTCCAAATCCCCCCAAACCATGTTGTCAGCAAAACCTATATTCTGATTAGTTTGCTCAGGTGCTTCATTACAGGCATCATCTGGTTGATAGGTGGCACCGGTCTCAAAGGAGGACACCCAGAAGTCATTCTTTACACCAGAGCTGAAGAAGCCATGGGGGCCGTTGTCTTTGCCATTTGTGTTCATTAGTTCTGTTGAGTCCTTCACCACAAAGATATTATTTTCATCAGGGACCGTGTTGGGGGAGATCTCGAGGGTCTCCTCTTTACATGTCATTAGATCCTCACCAGAGCCTCCATCATCGTGGTGATAACTTTCAACTGATTTAGGCACATTATCACATTCTTCATAATCTTCATTTGGATCTCTGACTTCAAAGTCCTTACTTGGGTTCTCTAGGACTTCCCATTCAGCTGTTTCTGGAACTTCCTGACAGTCTGCAACATCCTCAATGAGGGGTTCTTGAGATACAGTGGATGGTTCCACAGGTACAACCTCTTTCACCTCAGTGTTGACAGCCACCTCCTGCAGGTTTCCCTGATCTGTTGAAACCTGACTGATGAAGTCACTAAAGACAGAGTGATCTTCTGTTACATCAGCATGTGTCACCATGGACACATTGTTTTCAATCTCTTCCTCCCTTTTCTCTGGTGCTTCTTGTTCTTTATTCTGGACAGACTCATGAGCCAGAGTGTCTGTTTGAGGCACTACCACTAATGAATCACTGAAATATAGGTTCTCATAATCTGTAATTGTAGTGGAAGACGCAACTTCGTGGTTTTTCACTTCAGGCTCTACACAGGGAGTCATGTCCTCTGTTTTTGTTTTACCAGCCTCTTCTTGCTCTGTCATTTCCTCAACAGACCTGCGCTGCTGTAGCATCTCCTCACTCTCACGGGCCTGCTGCTGTGCAAAGTGAGCACTGTAGCTGTCTGTGGCTAGGTTTTCTAATTCCTGTTCCACAAGTCTGTCTGTCTCCAACTCCTCATCGTAATCCACACTTGTGGGTACCATGCGTTTGGTAAGTTCTTCGGTTTCTTCATCCGAAAGTCCCTCGCTGACCATTTCTTCTGCATTTTCTGTATCATTCACTATTGTAGCATGCTCACTTAGAGTCATACCATGTCCAACATCTCTGTCGTCAATATGAGTGTATCCCAGATCATATTCCACATCCAATGCTTCCCCTTCAACTTCTTCACACAGATCTTCCATAGTTCCAAATCTCTTTGACTTGTCTTCGCTCCACGTTCCAGTTCCCGTCTCTCCAACCTTCTTTTCCTGTTCACCTTCACTAGACTCGCTCTCATCCAAGTGTGACGCTAGAGTATTGGCGTCAGTCTCATCACTCTTGTATCGAATCAGAGGACGAGTGTCAGCAAGAGTGTTATCCTGAGCGTAGCTGTCACTCTCCAGCTCTGTCCTCCATGACACAGAGACATTTTGAGAATCCTCCTCTTCATTGTCTTCTTCGTTATCAGGAAGCATGGTATGCTCTTGGTCTAACGCAGCATGCTGTCCATCATTGTCCATGATTGAAGAGGCCACGTTGTCATCTTGCACTACATCTGTGGCAATTTTTCTCTTTTCGTGCTCTTGTTCTCTTGCTGATATGTCTTCCTCTGGTTCAGCATGCTGTCATTTTTCTTCATTCTCTTTTATGTCATCATCTGTCTTCAGATCAACCTTCCTTTCTATCACACTGTCCCATGTATCCATCTCTTCCCCATCAGGGTACAACTTATCCTCAACATCTGTCTCATTTGTTCCTACTATAGAACAGCTTATTTCTGGCATTATCTCAACTGCATCCTCCTTTAACATGTTTTCATCTTGACAAAAGTCTGTCACTTTGTTAAACACTCTTTCTTCAGGCTCATATTCAGACACTGGACTGCTTGTCCTGGATTCAAAGTCTGATCCAAGTACTGCCTCAGTTTCAGAATCTGAGGTTTCATCTTGCACATGCTCTACATCTTTGCCTTTACTCTCTTTCTCTACCCAGGCATCAACTGGCGCATGTAGTTCTTGCATATCTTTTTTTATGGCAGGTATTACAAAAGACACCTCCTTATCAGATTCATCTGAGAAACCACAGGGCTGCTCTGTCATTCTGATATGATAAGGTGTAAGGCTGTGTGAGGTAAACTGATGCTGATTCACTTCATCATTGAAGGGTGTCTCGGTGCTGAGGCTAGACTCAACCTGACAACTGACAACTGACTCAACATCTGGTCTTTCCTCAGGAGGTTCATCAGTAACATTGCTCCAATCCTCTTTACCTTCTTTGTCCCCTGATGTTTCATCCAGAGCCTCCTGCTCATTGGGAGGTGATAGACGCTCAGCATAGGTGACTTTCTCATGAACCTCCTGTGGTCGGAAATTTTCAACGGCTCCATCCTGCAGTATTTTTGGATAAGTGGTTGCTGACTTTGTTTTGTCTTCATATTCAGATTTCATGGAAATCTTAGGAGTTTCACTGAGGGTTACAGGTTTTCTACTCCAGACTGGCATTGCAGTTATCGCTAATGGCCCTTTTCCTGTTATGTTACGGACAGATGAGAGGGAAGTGGTCTTGTGGCTAGCAAACAGCTGGGTCTGGTAATTCTTTTTTACCCCTCGGGGACTGAAAGCTGCATCTATGGAGGACAAAGAGCAGAGCTCATGAATACACAATGAACAAAGCTACTGTAATAATAATGACTGGAATTAGCGACAGCCAGCGGCAGCCGTAACAGAATTTATGTCTTAAATAAAACCAACACATTTCTAAACTACAATTCTGCCAAATATACTGTGTCCTAAGATATTCTCCACACAGCATTGACTAGTAATTTAAATTATACCTGTTAATCTTAATGTGACAGAGATACTGTGGAGAACCTGCCTCCCCAAAGCATTATTAAAACATATGTTCTCAATGGAGGTTAGACACTAATGGGGAGATATTGATCGTCATTTCCTTTCACTGTTGTCTAAGTTACCGGAAGGCAGAGCCATATGGTTCAATAACCTTTGGGGACTGTCTTTGGTGGCTTACATTACAGGACCCAAAGTGCCTACCTCAGCTACCTCAGCCACACCAACCACCCACCCAGCCCAGTTAAACTAATGTCATTACAAATTGTATCAACCATGTCCCCCACTCTGAGGGGCTGTTACTATTATACCCTTACAAAGGGGGAGATTAATGTGGCAAGAAGATAAAGGAGAGTATTTATGCAACATTTTGAGGTTTTAAACACTGCAGTAGTGAAGGCACTGCTGATGGATTAATGTAATTTGCTTTAATTACCTGTGATGGAAATGTTTCTTGGCTGATTTAACAAAGAGATGTCTCCCTTGAGGCTTTCACTGTCCAGCAAAGCTCTGTAGAGACAGACAACAAGAGAAGCCGGTTAGATTCTGTAACAACATGTGAATATTGTGATGCTGACCATTTGGATGAGTTATAAATGGGTGGATGCCGATATGATGCTGCACACAGAGCAGTAGGCAGGGAGAGGAGAGAAGGGCGACTTTTGTTGCTCTTAAGCAGCAGGGACAGACTGAGGTCTGTTGTTATGGTAATGAAGGAAAGGCCCCACCATTGAGGAGCCATCTGCAGCGCACAAACCTCTGCAATCAATTCCTCACACACACATACACACGCACACACACACAGAGGGGACACTTATGCACACCGACACACATGACAGCAGATATTATGAGCAGTCCATGCAGCACTAATACTACTGTCTCCTTTCACACATGTGAACCACACCAGTCTCCATTCCAACACATTCTCTTATAATTAGCTGCATGTCTAGCAATTTAACACATTTACAAACAGTAAGTTCCATTTGCAGTGAATGACATTGAAATTTGTCCTTTATTTTTTCCTCCCCCTTCCCACTCCCCTTTGCTGTTATTCTAGACTCCCATAGCTCATAAATTGGTAGCTTCTAACTGAAGGGTGAGGGTCAATATTGTGAGGAGGGGGGGAAGGAGAAAGGAGACACCACTATAGAGCTCCATAATGGATAAGTTGCTCTGTCCAAGACATCAGAGGTTGCTGTTTCAATGAGATGACCTTTAGTCCAGATGGCTGCACCCCCTGTGAACAGCTCTTGATATTTTAGCTTCTCTCACAGATGCAAGGGTGTTTGTCTACAATGTTACTGAGCAGCAGTGTTAGAATGGGTTAAACTAACCATTTAAATCAGTGTTGACATAGTAGTGATGATAGTTAAGATAGATGATTGTGAGGTTTCACCCAGCTTGTTTTTATAACAACTGTTCGAAATTCCAATATCATATGTGACACTTGTGATGTGATATTCTGTAATCTGTATGGATGACAAAAACGTGCCCACACAGTTTACTGATCATACTAACATTTTCCAGTCTGAGCCACATGGTGAACTAATATGTAGAACCAAATTTAATCTTGAGACATATATGCTTCATGGAACATCTATATCTGATTCTAATGAGATTTCCAACAAAGGAAAACAGCAAATCAGCCTATATACATTACATGTTTAGTTTAGCTGAGCACAAATACTAGAAATGGGGAAACTGCTTGCCTTTGTTAGGAGTTGCAACTCCAAAAGGGCTTTATTTACATCCTGATACCTTGTAAGCTAGTCACCAATAAGGCTGCAACTTGTGCAACGCATGAGGAAGACTTTTACATTAATAGAGTTTAAAGTTAAAAACTCCTCGTAGCATGTTGGATCTGAGCATTAAGGATTGCCATGTGAGCACGAGCATAAACTGAATTAATGATTTTTTTCACAGTAGTTTTAACGACAAAGGATGTTGATTTAATCAGCTCTCATGACGTTGTGAGTGAGGTGGCTTTAAACAAACATCAAAAACAGTGCCAGACTTGATTTTTAGCATGTGAAATAAACATTAAATGCAACATTCACCCCCCACCTGCCTGACATCAAACAGGTGGGTTTCTTGGATCACCAACTCTGGTGAAGTTTTTATGCTTTTGCAGTTTTTACTGTGTGAAGCCAAAGTTTCTCCTTTTTCAAGGCAAACTGACTGACAATAATATAAAAAGCTCCCTATTATGAAAAGGCTGACTTCTAAAACAGAAATCTCTATCAATGCAATCTGCTGTTTCATTTTATATGACAATAATCAAAACAGTAGTTATAATGGATATGGATTTTTCACCCATTGGTCACAATACTTTTGATGGAAATGTTAGAACACAGGATACAAAGCTGACATCTTAAGTCAGTCAATATCTGAATTGCTGTGAATGGAGAGAGTATATATTTAAAGCTTTGAGATTCCACTTGCCCTTGATTTTAAAAGCAACAGATGCAGTATTATATAAGTAATATTACAAAATGCAATGTATGGTGAACATATTGAAGCATGTTAAAAATATGTTTTGATACAGTAAATCCAGTCTGCAGAAACAGAAAATTCCAAATTTAAGCAAATCAAGGTTTTTTTTCACAATCTGATAGGAATCCCTTAAATATAACAACCCCAAAAGTCATTAGGGAATGGATAAAAAATCAATATCTTATTGTAATAGTTCATCACCATCTGGCTCTAATATAATATCTTCTGCTCTGTTACTGAGGCACATGTGCTATATTCTTTCATGTAGGTCAAACTTTGGCCTATTTATGGCAGTTAGACCAGAAAATGATGTTGCTGGGCTATTGTTGTTGTGAGTGTCAAAAAGGTGTGAAAAGGCTCTGCCCTTTGTTACACACTGTTTCTTCTGTGCATAACTGTGCTTCCACAATGTTCAGTCTATATGCTAAGCTGGGCTAAATATGTCATCTCCAGCTCCGTACTTAATCATGTACCTATTTTCTTAGTATTGATCAGTGGCTGGTCAGCCCTGGATCAATATATTTAATTAGAAATGTACAAGGGGGCAGAGATAGTAACTGCTTAGCTCAGGGACCTTGCCCTGTATCTTGGAAAAGTCAGGATATGTGATTTGCCTCCTCTACCCTCCTCTCACCCAGTGTATGTTGGGATAGGCTCCAGCCCATTTCACCATGCAGAGGATAATCAGGAATGGAAAATGGACAGTACTGACAGTGTAGCGTACCTGTACGTTGCGACCTCCAACCCCAGAGACATCTTCATCTGCAGCAGCCCTCTGTTCTCCAGGAGGAGGCTATCAATCTGCTGGCCCAGCTCCTCTTTCTCCGCCTCCAGGCCCTCCAAGTGCTCCTGCCAAAACAGGAAGTGTAAAAGGAAAAGGAAGTGGTTTAAAAGAAGCATTCTCACAGTGAAGTATATGGGGTAAAAATAAACAGCATTTGTGCTACTGTGTGTGTTGTTCAACTGCTGCTCAGGACCACACTGGGAGAAAGCAGCATTGTCTGAAAAAGTGCTTAATTTGAGTGCTTAACCCCTCATACTTCACTGTGACCCAGGACTAATCCCAACAGACCCAACCTATAAATATGAAGCCCCCCATGTCCCTTTCAGACCCAAGTGTTTTCATTCCATCAGAATATTAAGTGAGCATGCTAAGGGGAGGAAAGCCCCTGGGGGACGCACTCACAGGTGCTCCTTAAAGCCTTCAGTGGGACATCTGGCATATTACTAAAGGCCTTAAATATTTTCAGAAAGTTAAATATTACTAAAAAGTTTTAAAAATATCTGTGATGAAGTATTTGATCTTTTAAAACTTGACCAGTCATGTAATTGACATGCAATAGCACAACAGTAAACTCCATTTTGTCTCACTGACCTAAGTCGTGCAGATGTTGATCAACTGTTCATATTCCCCTGTGGTTTGACACTTAATCATTCATCATCTGTGTCTATTTGTGCAATGTGAAGCTACAGATTGCACATTCTCAGAGCAACTGCGAATGACCTTATGAACTCACACAACAGAGGTTCTTCAATTTGCAAGAATTCTTTTTTACAGCTTCTCTAAATTAAGTTAAATTACAAAGTTACGATCAGTTGTTAGGAGCATTTGTGATTTAGTGTAATAAACAATAAAAATATATAGTTATTTATTTACAACCTTTGTTCACTGCAAGTTAAAGTATAGGGCCCCATGTTTCCAGGTACTGTGAATATGATCTGTAGCATCCCGGTAGGTATGGATGTTCTGCTCTCACCTGGAGTTGTTGGATATCCTGGCTGTATTTGTGTCCCTGTTGGGCTGCAGTCTTCTCCAGATGCAGCCTGACGTCCTGAGCTGAAGCGATCTCCTTCTCCAGGGATTGGAGCTTCAGCTGGCTCTCTCGCTTCTCCCGACCCACTTGGCTTAAATGGCTCTTGGTCTGGTTAAGGGACTCCTCTAGCCGGGTTAACTGTCCCTGATAGGCCTCTGCTGCCTCCTGCCATGCCTTGGTGGCCCTCTGGGAGTACTCTTGTCCCAGCTGTAGGAGGTTTGGTGTCTGGTTGCTCCTTTGAGCCAGTGTGGGTGGCATTGTGGCTCTGGAATGGGTCAAAGTGGCCTCCAAGTGAGCCACATCCTCCTGATGGGTTTCAATTAGGTGCCTCATCTCATGCTCCAGCTGACTGACCTTCTCCCTCAGCCAGATCTGTGCCCTCTGCTCCTCTTCCAGCTCCTTCCTGCTGTGCTCAAGCTTTGTCTTGGCTGTCACTTCGGCCTGAGCCTCCCTCTGCCTCTGCATGTCCAGGGCTTGGAGCTCCTCGGTCAGCCTGCCAACCTCCAGCTCTGTGTGGACTCTGTCCCTCCAGGCTGCATCCACCTTCAGTCTCGCCTGCCGCAGCTCTTCCTCCAAGCCCTTCTTCGGTGTCGAGGCTCCGTGATTGCTGCGCCTCAAAGCTTGGATCTCTTTTGCAAGCAGCGCATTTTCCTCCTCCAGGAGTTTGACTCGGCTCAGGTAGGTCTCCAGGCGTTGGTTCAGGTTCAGCATCTGGTGCTTCTCGTCACCCAGGTGGCTATGGTGAGAGGTTTTATGCACCCTGTGGAACTCCATGTCAGTGTTAGAAATAAGAGAGATTAGACAAAACAAGGCCTCACTCAGAGGTATGCTGATTATGATTTGGCAGCCAAACTCCGTGTCCAGGCCTGAGCCAGTGTGTGTGGCAGATCTTGTTTTTTGTCTGAGTGAGGCTCCTGTGAGGCTCTGGTAGTGTGACTGCCAGCCAGAGTCTTCCCTTTCATACTAGAGTTAATGAAGGGGCCGGGCACATGGAGAAGAGGGGAGGAGGGATGGAGAGGGAGGAGACTGAATGCTGGAGAGGGAGGGGAGAGGAGATGAGGAAGGATGGAGAGGGAGAGAGTGGGCTGAGGGAGAGAGAGTAGAATGGTGAAGGAGAGATGAGATTAGAGGGGTGGAATAGGAGGGGTGGAAGAGATTGGAAAGGGCACAGAGAAGCAGTGATGTCATTTCCAAGGTTAACTCTTTCCCCACTGGCACTTTTTCCAGCTGAGGAAATACCTCTGCTGGACCGAAAGATTTTACACACAAAAAATTCAAACGTCATTAACAGGAAGACCTGGGTAAAAGAAATCAGATTACCATTCATTTACAGTATATCCAGAAATGAAATGAAAGAGTCCTAGAGGTTAAAGACTCTAAGACCAGGACGAAGATGTTGATGTCATCACTCCTCTCCTCTCATTTCCTTTCATGCTTGCACTGCCAGGCTCACATAAAGGCAAAACTGCCTGTAAAGTACATCTCAAATTAATTAAAAAAAAGAACAGAAATAAAAGCAATAAGAAACAAACACATATTGATCAAGATGTGTAAGTGCAAGGTGGAAATGGGTTAATGCCTGAGGTTCAGTCAAAGGCAGTGAGAACGTCAAAGCTTTGGTATGTTAAAAGACAATCAGAGATGTACTTTGATCCTAAACCAGAGCGTTATCAACAAGCAGTAGTAATTTAAACTCCATTAAATATGAAACACCTTTCTTTGTCTTTGTGGGACTTTAGCAGCAGCTAAAGCTGAAGAGAGTTTTTTTAAGGTTGAACTTGAGAAATAAATATTACAGTAACTTGACCTGCCGGAAATGACAGTGTGCTTAGTTGATTGAGAAAAGTAGAAAAATTAGGTAATGCAAATAATAGTGATTTTAATGATTAATGATAAAAAAAAGGAATATAATGCAATTAGGACAAATCATGCTGACAGTCAGTAATGTGGTGTTCTAGTCAATTGTGACAAAACAACTGTAGATAAAGTGAGAATTCATTGATCTTCTAATCACATGGTATGGAATTTCTGACACTTGAAAAGCAAGCAAACCCCTTTACCTGTAACTTAACAGTGTTTTTGGAAACAATAGCCACAAACAAGCAGACACAATAACAGTTTCTACCCACAGGCCGTCACTCTGATACCACCTGTTAACTCCAGACACAGTATCAGGAACAGTCCGCATCCACTGTTCCTTTTTAAAACATCCTTTGCACTCTGTTGTACTATTGTCTTACTGTCTACAAGTGTTCTTGTTGTTGTTTATATATATTATATCTGTTCTTGTTGCTGTATGTATGCCTATTTCTGTACACTGAGAGCAATTAAACCAGAGTGTGTACACATACCTGGCCAATAAATGTGATACTGAAGTTGTTATATGTTGGGAAAGAAAGAAAACAACAAATGTGGTGGAACTGCATTTAGAAATGTTAGTTAATGAGTAAGCCAAATAATGAAAAGTGTTCCATAACCTTATCAGCACACCTCAGCAAACAAATTATGTTTTTATAGGCGTTTCACTAAGGATGGGTACATGCCAGGGAAGGTTACAGATTGACCTCCCTATCTCCCTCTAGTGGGCACCGCTCAACACTACAAAAGCCTGTTGTGAGCCAGTATTACAAGGTGACACTGCTAAGTGCACCTTACTCTAAAGTAAAAATGGATCTTGACAAATGTGTGCTAAAATCTATAAAGGTATGAAATAAATTTCAGTGCTCTGACATTGTCAATGCTTGCGTCCTACCTGTGTTTTTTTGCATGTATTGCATCAGTCAGAGATACAGAAAAAACATTTGTATATTAGTTTCAAGGAAGCATAAAGGTTGTAAGCAGATTGATTTGAAGTCCCCAAATCTGTCATAATCAGCTACATTTACCAAGCTGAAGTACCTTTGGCTAAGGAGCTCTTCTTGCATGACTAGGCCTCAATAGGTACCACAAAATGTTGAAACATCCTCTACTTTACTGCACAGATGAACCAAAGCTGAGCTGTCACAAAGTTCTGCTTTTATTAGTTATGTACTCATCTAAATTTCAATTTTGTTCAACCAAAATGCAAACTTTAGTGTCCCTTGATAATCTGAATGCTGTTTGACAGGCCCATGTCGAATCGAAAGACACTGAAAATAAACAAATATGAGCATATAAACAGTTTATTATGATATAATGATATTGGCAGCAGCTTTCTAAAACACATAACTGTCAAACCAGAAATATGAATTACGAAGCTGTACTGTACATAATCACGGACTACATCTCATCTTCACCAGCTTTGTATAACCGGTATGTTCACCTACAGAGTAGTATCTAACTAAACTGGAAATTAAATCTTAATACTATGTCACATTTTTAGAGTTTATTATGCAAGACTGTCAGCAGAATTTATACTGAGGAATTTTATATTTCAGGTATAAAAGCAACATGAAAAAACAACACATTAACAAGTTCAGGAAACTGCTTTTGCATATTTTACTTCCTCTTCGAAAGCAGAATCACTCACTTTGAAATTCATATTTGTAACTGGAATCCACTTCCATGTTACTTTATACAGATAACAAAGCAAATGTCACCAATACAAATCCAATGTATGTTCTAGACACTTTACATTCAAACTGGAAGTCAAACTTTTGAGATACTTAATCATAGAGAAAGGTGTTCGTTAAGGGGATATTTTGACCTATAAGTGGTGCTATAGATGACAAATAACAAAATCATTATGAATGATCACTTGAAGACCAAGAATATCCATTTCATAGTATTGTGGCCAGTACTTGCCATAATGTATTGCCCTGTAGCAGTGTGGAGGGGGGATTTTCTTCCCATATGTTAATGTTGTTATACATTTTGGTTTAAGATCTAATTAGGGAAGTCATATTGACCACTCTCAGCGGAGACCTGGCCTAGAAAACTGCAACATGACAAGCCACAAAAATTGCAGACACAGTAAAAAAAAAAAAAAAGATAAAAAAATAAAATCCAGTTAAAATCTCATAGTAGGAAAGATCAAAGTCCAAATTTGCTCTGAAAGCATTCATACAGCCATCAGCTCCTTAGCAAGCTCAACAAGGGACCAAATATACTGAATATAAAACTTGGCTGAACAAAGCAGACACAAACCGTACACACAGACCACAGGCACATACTGGACTTTATTTAATGACATTTGATATGAGCACTGATGAGTACAAACATCAGCTCATATTGGAGCAGTCACGCTTAAAGTGTGAGAAAATGTTACGTCAGTCAAGTGTCAAAAGCACTACAATGACACTGTGTGTGGGTTGAGGCATGAATTGTGTTTCCTGATAGCACACAAAGCAAACATGTAAAGTTAAATATTAGTAGACCTCTTTCTGTATGTACACTGTTTCTAATGGCATTTTTTATCAATGTTGTTGATGTTTCCTTAACACGGGAACACACTGTATATGGTCTGAATATATAATAATTTAATAACCAGCCATTCGTGTATGCAAATGACTTTTTCAACCAAAAGCAGAAGTTCTTAATTACAAGGCAGT